CGGAATTGACAACTTCTTTCGTATTTCTTGTTCATTAAAATTAGCATATCTTCCTTAAAATATATATTAAGATATATGAAGATAATGAACGGCAGAAGCGGAGACGCTTGATTTCGAAATCATGACTTCATCATGGCGCAGATTCACCAGAATTCCAGTATGTAATATTATCCATGAATTTTTTATTCGAAATCCAAATAGAAATATATACAGAATTGATTAAAAACTTCTTTCGAACTCTCGAAGTAAGGCATCTTATATCTCTTCTGCAATTTCTGAAAATATTTGGAAATCACCGTCGCGACGCGTGGTTTAGAAATTATTAAAGAAATCTTGTACTGACCAAGATTAAGAGTCAGAGACATAAAGTACTGAATTTCGAATTCATTGCTAATACAAAGTGATGAAATTTTGTTGCTGCATATAATGTGTGACACACACAAATCGTACGAAATTATGAAAGTCAGTGTCGCGCAGACATCACTAAACGTTTTACTTTCGCCTTCCTCAGGGCCATCGCTTTGGTGCGAGGAAGCCTTTACTTCCGTGACGTCACTCTGTCAGACGCTATAGCAGTGGGCTTCGAAAGTTTTGACCCCATGGGGCGCGTCATTATTATTTGCTGAAGGGCATGCGCTTTCGATTTCAAAAGAACGGGACTTTTATTGTGACGCAGCTGACTTTCAGGGGTATCAATCCCCATTATTTATTTACACATAGTTACACGTGTTTCTGAAAAAAAAATTGAAATATATATTAACTTATATATGTTGATGTATATTGTAGTGGACTACTGTAGTATATCCTGTAATCCACCTTAACAGAACATCATAATGCATCACTTTTAATCATATTCACTGTAAAGTTTTGTAAAGGGACACAGGTATCAGACGATTACTGGACATTGCGTGTATTTATAAATCCTGACTAACTTTTGGGTTTAAAATAGTCAATCTTCGAACTTGAAACATTCCTATCTTCGCTTTGCCAACTACATGGTGCAAGTACAATTGTATTGTAGTTGGTCTTGACGTAATGAACAAATGACGCCAGATGAACATCCATTTATTAATTTTATTAAAATTTAGCGTTTATACTACAAAACCGGTGAATAATAACAGCAACAGATCTGGGGCCCTCTAGTGGTAACCCTTAAGAAAACATATTATTAATTAAAATGTAAGTTACACTGGTCTTTTTTAAAGCAAAATCACTAAATTTGGTTTAGAAGAAAGTTCAAAAGGCTTTCTAAGTGAAAACTCTTAGTGATTTAAATATAGTGAAGATGCAACGGACTGGGAAGTAAAAGTCAAAGCCGAGTGGGCTCTTAAATAGCGTTTCACAAGATGTGTGTGCAATTTTCCCTATAATCTTATGTGAAACTCAATACAAATATGTGTGTCGGGTTGCCTAACTCACTGGTTGCTGTTTTATTTGAAATCTTCGAGTCAATAACTGTCGATTGCCATTACTTACAATCGCAAGGAAAAACTGCTAGATATGGTAGCTTTTTGAGCCGAACTTTTCTTTTTATAACGTTCGTGAATAGTCTGAAGAGAAGTTGTACAAGTACGTTGTAATGAACATTCCATGGTTAATATTCCTTCAACAAATTTCAGTCAACTAGTTGCAACTATTTTATTAGCCGCGATCGGTCGTGCAAAAAAGAATTGAGAGTTGTTCAGTGTAGCAAATATTGTTTGTGGTTATTTTACTCAAGTATTGATACAAATGATAGTGTCCTCTCACTTCTAGAATTAATATAAAAAGAAATATACCGCTGTACGAATTTCTTTTGATCTATACGTGTTCACAAAATATCTTTGACTTTTACCGATTTTAAAATATAATTACACAAGAGATTGTAATATCATAATAAAACATTACAGTAAATATCCTGAACAGTATCCATGCCCTTAGATCATCGTATAGAAGTTTTTCTCATAGTTCTTAAAATAACTTGCAAAACGTATTTTTCATTAACAAGAGGAAGACCAGTGATGCTAAAGAAGGAAAGAAGAATGTGTACAATACGAAGGGTGGGTTGAAGTTCTCACCCTCTTTCTAGTTATCTCTCTTTCTTAGTTCATTTCATTTCATTAACGAGTTCAGGGAACTTATATCTTCTGCAACATGAATAAACGGTGCTTCAAGGGATGGAAATCTTATGAACACAGTGAACTTTTGCATAACATTAGCTACTATACCATAAGGTACGTACTAGGGTGAATGCTAAAGTTACCTATTTGTTTCAGGATTTTATTTTACGTTCGTCACATCATTATTCCCAAATTTGAGGTCTGTTTTTAATACCCATAACTGCTAGAGTTCAATTAAAGTAGGTGATTGACAGTTGCGAGTGGAGGAGAGTAACGATGTCAAGTTGCTTACTTAGCACTAAGCGTGTGTTGCACGGACCCGAAAATAAACACTTAATATAAATACTCATAAAAATAACCAAATCATGTATTCACATTGTAGGCAACAGCTTGTTCTAGAGCGACTACATATTACATTATTCACTAACTTCAATAAATATTACGGCCCACACTACATTAAAGCACTTATTTTCACTCATTTATATGGCGATAGAAAATGCATCTCTCTCTATCTCTCTCTTTCCCTCTCTCTCTCTCTCTCTCTCTCTCTCTCTCTCTTTCCCTCTCTCTCTCTGTCTCCCTTTCTCTCTGTCTCTCTTTGTCTCTGTCTCTCTGTCCCTCTGTCCCTCTGTATCTCTTTCTCTCTACCTCTCTACCTCTCTACCTCTCTTTCTCTCTACCTCTCTACCTCTCTTTCTCTCTTTCTCTCTACCTCTCTCTACCTCTCTACCTCTCTACCTCTCTACCTCTCTACCTCTCTACCTCTCTCTACCTTTCTCTACCTCTCTACCTCTCTCTCTATCTCTTTCTATCTCTCTCTATCTCTTTCTATCTCTCTCTATCTCTTTCTATCTCTCTCTCTCTCTCTCTCTCTCTATCTCTCCCTCTAAATTTCTATCTCTCTCTCTATCGTCTTTCAAAATATTCCCAAGCAGTTTCACAGTAGCTCAAGCTTGTCTGTCTACACTTTTTCCAGATGATTCCCTGGGTATTTCATAACGTTTTCTGGGGCTGCCTCTTCATCCGTTGTGATTCGGGCATGGCCAAGTCAGTGGTAATATAAATTAAAACTAATAAAAAAGAACAAATAATACAAGTAAATGAAATAAAATAAGCATTAAATAAACTAACAGAAAATTAAGTGAAAACCGACGACCACAAAAAAAGCTCTACAACAAAGCGCACGCACCAAACTCGCTCAAGAAACGGCTAACCTCAACACAGAATGTAATGCTCGCGCAGCAAAGGCAGAAATGTAGGCAGCGGGAGGGAAGTTTCGCTGAACGACGCTCATATTTTTCCAGTTCGACAGTGCCAACTCAGCAATCTGGCTCCAGACATTTTCACTCTCTGATTGGCAGCTTTCATCGTCTAGACACAGGAGTAGCGTCCTTACGTCACGCACAACTGTCAGTCACCAGCTTACATTAATCGGGCCTTAGGTACCATTAAGATCATTGTTGATATTAAAAAATGGGTTTTAATTTAATTTTAATTGTTAAACGTTTCAATGAATTACCAATGAAACAATTCACCAAAAACATCATGTAGTACTTAAGAAAAGTGGATTGATATTGTTATATAGATTAATAATGATGACCGCAATATTCACGAGTGGTTTTGCGATTTTGCACCGCCCTTTTGCAACACGAACATGTGCAATAAGACAAGATATACGTGTAATATTTTGATTTCCATCTTCTTTAATTAAAAACGTAAATATCGCAAGATATTCCGCGTGCTAATTAAAGAATATTTCAGTGTACGATTACAACCGGATGTACACAGGATAATTTTCGTATTGCAAAATTGTTCACTATCGATCACTAGACACAGTATTAGTGAATAGAGATAAGAAATCATCTGTAGTTTAATCACACACGAAATAATAGAAAATGTATTTAGAATAAACAGACTAATGACATCAGTTATTTCATATTAACGAATACAAATAACTCATATATACGGATATTTCAAAATAAGTGCCCAAATTTTAGGATTGCATTCATAATAAGAAAATATTATTTTTTATTGTAGCAAGAAAATACGCAAAAAGTCTTTAAAGAATACACATTTTAAAAACATTTATTTCTGACCTACAGGGCCTCCCTTTTCCATGCAGTGGATTGCTCGAACCGCGTGGGCATCTGTAGCGGCTAGTAAATAACTTAGGGAGATATTTCTTCTCGGGAACAGAGGTTATTTAATAAACATACGCTGAAAGAAAATTTAATAGATAATTAAAGCATCATATGTCTTAAAAAGTCACAAATTTATTTGTACAGTTTGGCCAATATAAACTGTTTGACACTTTAGATCTCAGAATAGCCCGTTTGGAACTGCAATAAAAGCATGCCCACGTGCATTCTGAATTGCCACACGCTTTTAAAATACTCCTCATTGTAATGTAGTTAATAGACACAGTTTCATGTTCTAGGATCCACGGGTTGGGAATTGATTTGCGTTCTGGAGAGACTTTACCGCAGGTAAAAACTCAAAAAGGCTTAAATAAGGCAGCTGGGTGAGCATTGCAGAAGGACGTCCGTGTCACAAAGGATACTAATAAAGGTTTTGTTCAGGTGATTGAACGAAGTTGTCGTGGGAATACGGAGGGTTAGAGTGCAAGTCCTAATTCTGAGTGAGTTCTATTTGTGAGTGCAATTTTCATTTATTAACATGTTTTCATTGGACAATCTACGTTTCCGTATCATGAATCACCTCCTGACTTTTGTGCACTTGTTTCGGAATCACCTGTATAAATAAATGCATCTTACGCGTAAAAATATACGCATGACCACATGCATGCCTACCTGAACACACACAAAACATGTGAACTTATTAGATAAAAATGCATTGTAATGACATGCAACTTTTAAACATGACAATGTAAATAGTAAAGAGATGGGTGGCCGCAGGTTGATCCGGCGGCGCTCGTCCAGCCAGCGCACGACGCCGCCGTCGTCGCCCCGGACGCTGCCGCCCACGCCCACGTCCACGCGGCGGCCGCGCTCGGGGCCCGCGGGGCTGCACTACTATACGGCGTCGGCGCCGCCGTCGCGCTCGTCCTCGCGCCTCGACATGACCAGCCTGGGCGTACCGGGCATCGGCCTGTCCATGTGCACGGCCGGCGGCGGCGGGCTGAGCGCGCCCACGTCGCCGCGCTCCTCCCCGCCCGTGTCGCCGCAGCACTGGCCGCGCCGGGCCTCCACCCTCAGCAAGCGCCCGCTCTCGTGACCCCGCTCGCCGGCGCCCGAGCCGTGCCTCGGTGGCGCGGACGCGGCGCCGCCGCCCTCCGCCGCGGCCCCCGGCCCGTCCTCGGCCGCCGTCGCCTCCCCGCCGCCCCCCGCGGTGCTGGTGGCGGCGGTGGCCGCGGCGGCGGCGGCCGCGTCGGTGGCCTCCACGTCGTCGGCGCCCGCGTCGCCGGCGGTGGCTCAGAGCCAGCGAGCGCCGTCTCGCCCCTCGTGATTGCCTCCCAGCGGACGCACCGCTTCTCGAAGGTAGTGCACGCGAACGACTTGATGGGAACTTCCGCTTCTTGCGCCGGTTGCGAGCAACGGCAAACTCCTTCCTACCTTCACTCTCGCGCTTGCCAGCAACAATGCCCAAATTATCGTCAGTGTAAATAGAAAAAACCTCTCTGGCTACTCTTTCTCAACATTGCTATTAGCATTGCTACTGCAGGAATCCTAGACTTTGTCAGAGTTACTGGACCTTGCTACAAAATGTAGTCCTACATTCAAAAGACTATGTTATTGTTACTGTAAGTTTGTACACTTTTGCACTCACAATCCTCTGTGTGATAAATTAATTTCCCAAGCTTGTCAATAAAACTGAAAATTTCTCTTATATATTTTGATATCTTACATAAGATGCCCATTATACACAAACATTCAGCAACTTCTTGTTGTATCATGCATTCAATCTGTCATCATAGCCAGTCACTAATGACCTGCAATATAAAACGCTATTCTAGGTGAAAATCTTACTCAGATGTGACAGTTATTTATTGCTCTGAGTATATTGCTTACAAACCAATATATTACATCCCACCTCTGTTACAAGTGCTGCATTTATTCAATAAAAATAGTACATAGCAAAAATGATCTATATCATAAATAACCTCATGAAAACTTTGCCTCTTAAAACAATGACGAATTTAAATGTTTATTGATTGTGCTGTGATGGCAATGAAAATAGCATGTTCAGCATCTTAATTTTAATATTCTTACTCTGCAGCTATGTAAGCAATATTTTTATCTCTTTCATACATAATTTTGGAATTAATGTGTTCATAAAAATGATAAAAGTAACTCATTTGCTCAGTCTGTGGTAAAATGTATGATCTGAAATCAGTAAAATTACAATTTACAATCACTTTACATTAGATACTTATTAATCACTGGTATTTTTGACCAAATGCAGAGTAACAACCTGATAATCATAACAGAGAGATAAAGAATGGAAAACAAAAGAAACGTGTTGATTGTGGATAATATATATATATATATATATATATATATATATATATATATATATATAATATTGCTGTTATTCTCAGTCAAACTAGGTAATTGCTTCACATTTGTAAAAATATGTTTACATATCTCATTAATCATATCTGATTGTGAACAACACCAATTTTCCCCTGCCTCAATCTTATTTGAATTGTGAACTTTAAATAATTTATTATGAAGATAAAATAATTATTGAATTTCGCAGTTATTGAATCTACAGATTTTTTATTGTTTTTTCCATCATTGAACATATCTGAGAAATTGAACTTGCCAAATTTTCTAAAATTTTTTGCTATCCATGAATCAAAATATTCACTTCACTGGATGAAATAGTGATATATTTAATTTTTATTTTTGTAATGGTAATGAACAAACTAGAAACATCAAATATAGACCAAGAACTTTTTGATATTTTTAAGAGTGGAAAGTTTAAAGACTCATGCCATATAATCTTCAAAATTTCAACTCTTTCTTCTGTATTTCCATTTTTAACTTTCTTATTTTCAGCTTGTCTACTATACTTTTCCGGCCCTCTCTGCCTTGGCTTTGTATATCCAATGCCAATGTGATATTAACGTATATTGAATTTTTATGATAGAGTATTCTGGAAAAAGAAAGTTATTTTGTTTAATAATAAAATGTAAATTTGTCATAGAATTATCAACAAGGAAATTAAATTCTAGCAAAGGTAAGGGAACTTTACATTTCTGAGTTTCTTGTTTCATCATGCTGATACTTTTTTAATTAAGTCATTTAGGTTTTTTAAGTATGGTTTACCATTTCAATTTCTTCCATTAACATCATTCTTGATCTCTGAAGCTTATTACCTAGGTCCAACTATTCAATGAAGAATAAACATCTACTGTTGGTGAAAGAATTCAAGATTTTGTTGATTGTTAATATATTCTTGCTTCTCCCTGTTTGGGTGAGAAGTAAAAAATATTTTTTTCAATATTCCAATCTTAATGAACATATTTTGATACTTGAAAGAAAGGGTACAAATTAGAAATGTTATTATGCACTAAGAAATATACTTATATTGCAAAATTTAATATAATTATATTTTAATATAATTAGCTGCCAGTTGTTAACTTCATGACCATGCCCTCAGAACACACAAATCTCTTTTTGACTTGATGTAGATCATCTGTGTTGTTCAACATTTGTGACCAATTTCCTTATGTGTATGTGTTTTTTACGGATGTAGTATATTGCAAAATTTTTGTACTTGCTCCAAGATAGAAAATCTTACATGCAAGGATAGTAATAAACATTCATGTTCATAAAACACACATTAGATGTTATTCTTCTGAAAGATAGAAATTGCTGTATCTAACACTATGCTAGAATAATTTTCACAAATTGATTTAGAGTTGCACATAGAAAATTTTGATGTGTTTTGGAAAGGACAAATGCACTGTAAAAGACAAAGATAAATGTGCCCAAGTGCTACCTTCACCTTTTAGGATGCCTTTTAGAGAGAAGGTACAGACTATTTAATTATCCCAACATCTCTAGGGAGTTGTATCTCACTATTACAGGGATTGTTAATTGGCGGATTAGCCAATAATAATAACAAGAAATTATTTTATTGTTTAATGTGGATTTGATCTAAAATGTTCATCTCAGAATGGAGGTTATTGATATGTGCTGTATATGGCTGCATTCCTGTTTTGTAGAGTAGTTGAAAACATTAATTTTGTGATTAGCAACGTAGCAATAAGTTAAAGGGTGCCAAGCAAAGAGCAAAAATACTGAATAGTTTTGGAATATTCAGTTAATATTTGCTTGATTACTTTTGATTTGTGCCAAAGGTAAAAGAGTAAATTGGAAAATTTCCCATGTAAATCAGACGGAAAATCTAACGCATTTGTTTTGAGATTCTGAAATAAATCTTATACAATTATTGATTTTTTTTGTAGCTCAAAATATTTGTACGGGCATTAAAGGTAATATTTGTAAAGACATTAAAGGATTACTAATGGAGTTTAAATTACATAAAATAAATTTATCACTGGACAACAATTATTGTTTTCAGCAATGGTAAGTATACAAATTCCATTTATCACTCCCTTTAAATTATCATTTATCACTTAAATTTCATTTATACATCAACACAGGCATACATTTAAATGAGATTTCTATTTCTATTCAGTATTTTTGTTGCTCATTTAAATATGTAAAATGTTGAATATGGTGTAAAGTCTTTCGAAGTATCATTAATGATTTCTTCTACATTCTGTCTTAAATAAGAAATGTTGATATTTTTACCCTGGTAATGTCAGGTATGTGACATAATGGTTAGTTTGCATGTTTGAGAGACATAATGTGAGATGAAATTCTTATAATTATAATTGTGCAGGCAAAAAATAATTATTTTGTAGGTAGTATTAGGATTTATTTCATTCCATTAATAGATGAAATGAAGTTCTTTTTGATATCGTAAAAACAACATGCTAATGCTTCATGAAAGGTGTCTTATTGTTGATATAAAAATACTACACCATTGTATAAATATTTTTAAATTGAATCAAATGTGTTATTGTTTAATTCACAGTCCATTTTGATATATATGTAATACACAATTTTGTGAGATGTTGAAATGACAGGTTGTGAAACATGTTAAATTGTAAGGTTTTATAATTAATGTACTGAAGTGAGTTTCTTGTTAATGTTTTTACAACTCTTGTTGTGTGCGTTGGCTGCATTATGTTATGGTATAATGTTGTGTAGATGAAGCACAAAATTTATTTTTCCATACACGTAGATTTATATTCACTTTGTATGTTACTCTGTTATCTTTTTAGCCATATAATTTGTAAATTAGAAAATGCAGCATTCTCATTGTTGCAAGTAGCTATAAATGGCAACATAATTTTGAAACTATGTTTACAAAAGCAAAGGTATATGAAATCCCAAAAATGTTTTTCAAGATAGCTGATAAGCAAGAGAATTCTGGATCAGTACATTCTTACATACAATATTGTTTTTCATATAATGTCATTCAATATTGTATTACAGTAAATACTGTAAATTTCAAGTTTCCAAATTAAATACCACTTTCAAATTCTTTTAGAGATGTTGAAATGAAGTGTGAATATTGAAAATGTTCAGTTTATTTTTTTATATCATACGTGAACATTTTTGTAAAAAATCTAGAATAGCTTGCAAAATGTGAATAATAATATCTTAGTCAAAATTATTCAGTTGTTGTACAACTTTTTCATTAATCTTTTATTAATGTAAATTTGAGGTTATATATAAATGATACACTTAAGTTTGAAAACAAATATTGAATAAAATTTTATGGAATATTTTTTAAATTGTTGCACAAAAAGAGGGTCATTAAAAAAAGATGCTCCAAAAAAATTTAACAATTTTAACATCCCACACCCTTGCCTTAACAATCCTTAAAAGTTCTTTTCAGATTTACAAACAGTTTGTTTCAGAATAATATTTCATTTTGAAAATTTTCCTGCCTTCCTAAAAGCATATTTATTCTAAATTGGTTGAGATTTTATGTAAATTTTACGTGCAGATATAACTTCTTAAAATGAATGAGAGCCTTCTTCTTTTCAAATATACGTTGTTGTTTTTTTTTTTCATTTGAACTTTCATTTATTTTAACATATTTTTGCCAATTAATAAATATTACTTGAACATATGATTATTTAACAATATGTTTATTATATTAAATATAACTTTAATATAATAAACACT